CCCTCCTAAAATACTGCCCAGATCCTTTTTAGAGGGTTGATTTTTCCCTCCTAAAATAATATCCAGGTCCTTTTTGTGAGGGCTGATTTTCCCTCCTAAAACACTCTCCAGATCCTTCTTAGAGGGTTGATTTTTCCCTCCTAAAACACTGCCCAGGTCCTTTTTGGGAGGGTTGATTTTCCCCTCCTAAAACACCCTCCAACAACCAGGACACAGCTCAGGGAACGACCAGAGATGGTGAGGAGGCAAAACCCCACCAAAAAAAAGCACTTTTTAACCCCCAGTTTGGCACCGGACACAGTGCAAAAACCCCGGGGAGCGAAGATTCCATTAAAAAACCACCGGGAAAAAGGGGGGGAATTTATGGATTTATTATCTAATCCCGAGGGTTTAGGGGAGATTTTTTTTTTTTCCAACCAGTTACTCCTTTGCATCCACAAAAAAAAAAGAAAAAAAGAAAAAAAAAAAGGTGCCACTTGTGCTACTCTTTAAATAAAGTTTCCAGCTGGATCAGCCAGAATTTTTCAGGGGTTGCAGGTCGGTTTTGGGTTTTTGGGGTGTTTTTTTTTTTAATCACACCGGGGATTCCCTGCCTGCTCCCAGACCTGCTTCCTCTTGGAGCTGGGAAGAGTGTCCAGCTCCGGCCAGGCAGCATTCCCAGAGGATACGGGGGCACTTCCCTCGCGGCGGTAATTAGGGTTGATGATGATGAGTCTCCCAGCTCAGCCTCTGCTCTTCTCCTCGGGACAAAACCCCCCCGAGGTCGGGAGGCACCTCCCCACACAATCCAAGGAATTCTCTGAGCCGAAAAGGTCGGGAGGCACCTCCTCACACAATCCAAGGAATTCTCTGAGCCGAAAAGGCAAAAAAAAGGTCTTTATTCACATACAAAAAAAGGCGGTTGCATAGAAGGACAGGCGCGTTCCTAACCCAAAAAAAAAAGTGCTTTTACACTCAAAAGCCAGAGCCAGAGTTTCGCCATTCCAGCCAAAGCAGCTCGTAGCATTTTTCCCCCCCTGGAGCAGGAGGAGACCGGGATATCTCCTGCCTAGGCGGGACACTAAGCCAGGCCTTAACTCAGCGATAAAACAGCAGCGTGGCAAAGCTCAGGACACCCAGGACTACACGAAGCAGGGGAAGGTTTAACATGCCAAGGGACGGTCCTGATGCCTCCAGGCCCTCGGCACGGAAGGTCTCTGAGGTTTGGCTCCGCCGCGTCCCCTCAGTACTCGTCCTCCTCGGCCTCCTCCTCCTCCTCCTCCTCCCCGTCCGCAGAGTCCCTGCCCACCTCCTCGTAATCCTTCTCCAGCGCCGCCAGGTCCTCCCTGGCCTCGGAGAACTCGCCCTCCTCCATGCCCTCGCCCACGTACCAGTGCACGAAGGCCCTCTTGGCGTACATGAGGTCGAACTTGTGGTCGAGGCGGGCCCAGGCCTCGGCGATGGCCGTGGTGTTGCTCAGCATGCACACGGCCCTCTGCACCTTGGCCAGGTCGCCGCCGGGCACCACGGTGGGCGGCTGGTAGTTGATGCCCACCTTGAAGCCCGTGGGGCACCAGTCGACGAACTGGATGGAGCGGCGCGTCTTGATGGCGGCGATGGCGGCGTTGACGTCCTTGGGCACCACGTCGCCGCGGTAGAGGAGGCAGCAGGCCATGTACTTGCCGCGCCGCGGGTCGCACTTCACCATCTGGTTGGAGAACTCGAAGCAGGCGTTGGTGATCTCTGGCACGGAGAGCTGCTCGTGGTAGGCCTTCTCCGCCGACACGATGGGCGCGTAGGTGGTCAGCGGGAAGTGGATGCGCGGGTAGGGCACCAGGTTGGTCTGGAACTCGATGAGGTCGACGTTGAGGGCGCCGTTGAAGCGCAGCGAGGCCGTGACCGAGGAGACGATCTGGCCGATGAGGCGGTTGAGGTTGGTGTAGGTGGGGCGCTCGATGTCCAGGTTGCGGTGGCAGATGTCGTAGATGGCCTCGTTGTCCACCATGAAGGAGCAGTCCGAGTGCTCCAGCGTGGTGTGCGTGGTGAGGATGGAGTTGTAGGGCTCCACCACGGCCGTGGACACCTGCGGGGCCGGGTACACCGAGAACTCCAGCTTGGATTTCTTGCTGTACTCCACGGAGAGCCGCTCCATGAGCAGGGAGGTGAAGCCGGAGCCGGTGCCTCCCCCGAAGCTGTGGAAGACCAGGAACCCTTGGAGGCCGCTGCACTGGTCAGCCTGCGGCAGAACGAGGCCTGTTTATCTCTCAGTTATCCCAGCCCTTAATCCCAAAGAAAACCAGGGACGAATCCCACTCAGAGCCCTTTCCTGAGGGGATTCACTCCGTGTATCCCCAGGCCGAGCACCTCCATTAAAGCTTTGCTGAGCCCCCAAAACAAATCCCAGCAGCAGCAGCAGCAGCTCTTGGAAATCACACAGATATGGGGTGGTTTTTTTTTTGGTTCTGAGTTTTTGTCTTTTTTTATTTTAAGACTTTTCCCCCAAACCCGAAGTTCAACCGCGGTGTCCACAAACGAGTTATTTATTTAGAGGTGTTATTTTAAACGTGTCAACTTAAAATTCATCAGGACCTGCAGTGATAGGATAAAGAATAAGGGGTACAAATTGAAAAAGGGGGGAATTTAGGTCGGATAATGGGAATTCTTGGTGCTGAGGCTCCTGGAACAGGCTGCCTCATCCTTGGAAGCATCCAAGGCCAGGTTGAAGCAACCCGGGATAGTAGACCCGCTACAGGGAGAGTTGGGATATTAAGCTCCCCTTAATATCCCGTGATACCTTAATATTCCTTAATATTCCACAGCTCTAGCCCCCCCGATATCCCAGGATTCCACGGCAATCCCGACATCCCTCTCACCATCTTGCGGATCCTGCTGAGCACGGTGTCGATGATCTCCTTGCCGATGGTGTAGTGGCCGCGGGCGTAGTTGTTGGCGGCGTCTTCCTTGCCGCTGATGAGCTGCTCCGGGTGGAAGAGCCCGTGGTAGGGGCCGGTCCTGATCTCATCTGGAAAAGGGGGAGAGGAGCAGAGCACAGTTACGGGGCCGGGACATCACCAGGACAGAGCGAAACGCATGGGGATTGAGTCCATCATCAGTAAATTTGCAGGTGACACCAAGCTGGGGGAGTGTTGATGTGCTGGAAGGCAGGAGGGCTCTGCAGAGGGACCTGGAGAGGTTGGAGAGTTGGGCTGATTCCA